GTCCGCAGCGTTCGACGCAGGGGAAACCCGTTTGTCGCGTTGGAGCATTATGGCTCGCGCAGCAAATGAGCTGCGGTCGAACGCAAGTACCGTTTTTATACCCGTTCGGACCGTTTCCCCTGCCCCACCCCCCAGCAGGCACCCCGCGAACGCCCTGCAGGACGCAAAGGGGTTCGCGCGTGTTTTTTTTTTTTTTTTTTTTTTTTTTTTTAAGTTGCATGGGGCGGTACCTGACAACGGACACTACCACCCCACACTTTCACAAAACCCCTACCCCCCCCCAAACGCGCGGAAACACGGTTCGCGGACCCCGTTCATTCGCGTCCAATGCGCGTTTGAACGGGGATTGAACGCGAATTCAACGTGCGCTCAATTTTTCAACGCGAAACCCGCGTTGAATCAATTTTCGGACACACAACTTTTTATCCTTCGCCATAAACGACATAACAACAAGTATTTCTTTAAAATCATAAACTTCAACACACTTATATTCTTAGTATAAGTGTGAACACCAGACGACTCAGTCATCCCATCTATTTTACTTCCACTTTCATTGCGATTGCCAAAGTTCGACATTTAACATCTTAATGTTCATCATTATCATCATTCTAAAACTTGAATTATGCCCATATGCAGGGCTACCAGCCGTGCTGCCCGGGTCTCCAAACGTTGCACCAAAGCTGGACGGGACAACGGGCCAGCAAATTGTGTCGGGTGGGGTCTCAATCCATATTATAAGAAATAAAAAATAAAAATAAAAATATGTTTTACACAATAGCAAACCAAACAACTTTTGGGTGAGGTTCATTTTCAAATTCTTCACACAACTGGAAATAAAAATAAAACAAAGGAAGAAAAAATAACTCACAACATTTGATTGCCCTTCAACCATTTTCTTAATCCCTTTAAGGTTCCTAAGTCCCCACCCCCTCCATAACTGACATGAATGAAAAAAAATAAAGAAAACGGATTTCGATTACTCATGAAGGGCGCAAAACTGGTCCATCATTAGGGGAAATGACAAAAAAAAACAAAGGTTTTACTATTTTTTTTACTGTCCGGTTGACCCGTCGAGGACAGTCCCCATCGCACCGATCTGCATGTAGTGCCCAGTCGGACGGTCGGGCCTGTGCGGATCTGGTAACTCAATCCATGTCCCAAAATCTGGCTGTCCATCCTTCTTCTATCATACCCATCCATCTGCGATGCTTCGATGAGCCACGTGGCCGTGCGACGGCCGGGGGAACACTTTTTTTTTCCCTCTCTCTCTCTCTCTCTCTCTCTCTCTCTCTCTCTCTCTCTCTCTCTCTCTCTCTCTCTTCTGTGTGTCTGAAACTCGATTTAACGGGGGTTTCCCATTGAAAGGTTCAACCCCCGAACCCCCGTTACAACACCGCGCTATACCGCGTTAAAACAGGGTACAACGCGGCCCGCAAAAAAAAAATTCGCTGGCAAAAAAAATCCAAAAAACAAATACAAAAATGGGGGTGTACATTTTTTTGCGCTCTACATCCCTCACATCTGTGTGTAGCACCGTGTTAGGGTTCGGTGACCGAACCTGAACGTTCGTGACCGAACGAGAACGAGCGCCGAAACTCTCCGAACGCGAACATAAAAATATTAAAATAACAAAAACAGCAGGTCTCTCCAAAAAATCTGAAAAACATATATGTTATGTGAAATAATAATAAAAACAACTTTTGACTTCGAGGTATGGTCAAATTTGTAACCAAACTCGAGTTAAAAATAAAAAACAAAAAAAAAAGTTTTTTTTTTTTTCTTAATATGTTCGGCCGAACACGTTCGGGTTGCGTTCGGCCGAACACCCGAACATGTTCGGTGTTCTACGCAGCCTCACATTTTTATTTTTATTTTTTAACATTTAAATAATTAAAAAAAAATCAAAAACCTAACCAGACGTTCTTTTTTTATTTGTTGATTGATTGATTGATTGATTGATTGACTG